GTGTAAAGATTACCCCTCTTGCGACATGCTCTATGCGGTTATGCCTCTAAGTCGTGCTCCGATACGTGGGAGATATAGCCGCATCGTGTGTGTTGCACTTACTTTTAAAGAAGATGCAAGGTCAGAGCACACCATCAAATTTATAGGTGTACGGTAGGGATCGTCTGGTGTCTTTGGATTGATTCATATGTTTGTTATGTCAAACTTTGTTGAATAATTTAATAAAGATGAACCTATATGCAGAGGCGACGGGTTTCAACCTCTTTTAAAAAAACTAATGATGAATAGCTGTTTTGAGAAGCGTTATTTTTATCCTATTCGGATCATGATTAGCGATTTCAAGGGAAGAAAAACATAGTGGTTCTTCCTTCGGAATAAATGTACTTTAAGCCAATCCTCTTTGTCTTCGAGCCAATCAAGTGTCGCTAGGACTTGTGTATCTTGTCATGAATCTAGATTAGTCAAATTAAGTTGTGGTCAAACAGAAGGTATCCATTTTAACATGGCACTGATCTCTTTTCTTGAAAAAGGAACTGAGCAAGGTTGGCGACTTGAGTACACCGTTCAGTATAATATTAGCTGTCAGCACAATAATTAAGTATTTTCACCCTCATCATTTTCGTTAGGCATACGTGGCTTACTGTGCCGCCGATAAGCTCACATGTTCTACTACATGTCATGGTGCCATGTTTGTTTACATGCTAGAGCTCCTTTGATCAATTTCATAGTAGAATGTTTTGGATGATGGATACTTACGTAGCTCGTTTGATTCGCGGGATTGGCTATCCTAAGTATTGCTTTGCACCCTATTTTAGAGAAAAGGGATTGTTTGGACGGGAGCCATCGCTGCCCTGCCAATAAATTGGCGTTGACTGAGGCGTCGCTGCTTGTTTGGTTGCATGCCAAAATTTTGGCACACCAGCACGCTTCAGCCATTTCTCTTTGCCTTTTATGCCAAATCACGGGCGGAACAAGGACCAAATCGGCCGCCAATCATTTGGCGTACCCATGACACCAATTATTGGAAGGGCGAGGCTAGGGTAGAAACCAAACAACCCCAAAGTTTCATCCATCCAAAACTCAGTTTTTGTTTTCTTGTGGGGTAAACACTATTTGATCAAACATAAAGTGGTTTTCTAACCCTATAGCATTTGAGTGAGAGGACGTGCCGCTCAAATCTTATCATGTATTATCTCTTAATAGTCATGGAGAACAAAGATGCATATGTTGCGTGATATGAATGAGAATTTAGGTTTGAGATTGAAAAAGCTAAGCCAACTTTTTGAGATGACAATGAAAGCTTTTATTGCCCCCCAACCACTACACTGCATCATAGATGAATCTAGCCATACTTATCGCAATATTCGTCACAAAATTATCTATCAAGATATGGCCTCGAATAAAAAGGAAAGCCGGACACCGACAAAAAGCGATAGAGATAGGAAGAGGGAGGAGAAAAGAAATGGTTGTAATTAGACAACCCTTGCGTTATAGTGAACACATCAACAACGTGATTTGTTTGTACAATGATACCGGGAGAGATTTATATGTGTACGGGCCTATGGTCGAGGAAGTCAAATGTTTTATTCTCATCCACGGAAGGCTATAGGATTGGTTGGTTTAGATGTGTTCTACTAATGGGAGTAGTTCATGCGTTTAGCTTAATGATGTAGATCATGCTTTAGCTAAGAAAGGTAGCCGAAATGAGCCGTGCAAAAGATGGTTCGAGGTCCCCCAGTTGTGTATTATGAATACTTGACCGATTTTTTTGGGCGGCTTAAAAGATAAGTTGTCACTCTCAGTTAGAAAAATAAATAAATAGTCATCTAAATTCGTTGAGACTTTTAAATCAATTATTTCATAAATAGTTTTTTAAGGAATATTTCATAACTAGTTTGGAAGCCCCAATAAATAAAAACGACGTCTCATATAAAAAACTATGGAAGAGACGGCTTATTTTTTAAGCCCCTAAAAGAACTGAGCAAATCTCGAATTTAGCCCAGCACCATGGATAGGGGGACAACAATTTCAACTCAGAAAAAAGAGATAATAATCATCATGTATTTTTTTTGAATTCTCAAGGGGGGGGGGGGAACTCCCCCATCTGAATTGTATTCATTTGCCTATAAGGCTTTGCAGCCTGTCGCAAGATAGGTTCAAGTGAACCAGAGGTACATGGGATACAAGGGAGGAGAGATAAAATAAAACAACACAACATATCGGCGACACACAAGACGCCACACACAACAGGAGAGAACAAGGAGGGAAACACAACACAACACAACAAAGAGCACCGCCGGTGTAATCGAACGGCATCAGCCAGCCGAGACTAAACCAAGACACTGCACCGTCGATGTAATCGAAAGGCTCCACACAACCGAGACTGCACAACGCCGTGACACTACCTGCGTCACGGGGCACATTCGAAGGGTCACACGAGGCCGAGACGACGCCACACCACCTGTGTGCCACCGGCGTCGTCAGGGGGCATCACCAAGCAGACCAAACCACGACACTGCACCGTCGACGCAATCGAAAGGCACCGCGCATCCGAGACTGCACAACGCCACAACATCACCTGTGTCGGGGGTACATTCGAAAGGACACGTGAGGCCGAGACGACGCCACGGCACCTGTGTGCCACCGGCGAAATCGCAGGACACCGCCTAGCAGAGACACACCAAGAAGCACTCGAGCACGAACATCACCGAAGACACAAACCCACCATCGACCCCCAAGCCGGCCGCAACACCATCAACATCAACCACACCCCACCGACAACCGCCACCCCACGCAAGCCATCGGATATCACCAATAGCCATGGTCTCCAAGACGACGCCTCCAAGGAGGTAGCGACGAAGCTGACGCCGTCATCATCCGATCTAGCAAAACAAGATCTTGGGCTTTCACCCGGAGACACTCTCGAGGGACTTGGGTGAACTGGACTCCTCAGTAACGCCTCCAAGAAGGTGAACGACACCAAAAATGGCGCCGCCGTCGCCGGCATCAACAACAATTTTTGCAGGGATTTCTCCAGGAGCCAATCATGACCAAATCGCCTGAGATCCAAGACCTGACACACCTAAGGCCGCCGACGCATGCCACGAGAGGGGAGCAGAGCACCCCCAACTTACCACGAAAAGGAGCAGAGCCCGTCGCCGTGGATCCTGGGACTCCCTCCACCTCCCCTTCCCCCGTACAAGCAAGACTGGCCAGAACAAGAAGCTTGCCATAAGGATCAACACGACACAGTCGCGAACGAGGGAAGGGATGCAGGAGAAACGCCGCCGCCCGCCAGATCTGGAGCAACACGGGGCAGCACCGGCCGCGCCCGGCGCGTCACCCGGTCAGCCGCGCGCGCCCCAGCCTCCACACCAGCGCAGCCAGCCACGGGACGCCGCAGCCGAGCCAGCGAGCAGCCCCGCGCCCCCGCGCCCGAGGCACCGCGCCCCAAGCCACCGCCCAAATCCACCCACTCGCAGCTCCGCGCCCACGCGCGTAGCCCCACGACGCCGCCGCTGAAGCCGGAAGCCGCCGGGACCAGGCCCCGCTCGCAGATCGACGCGCCGGCCAACAAGTGACCACCGCCGTGCCCGAGAGCCGCCCATTG